AAAAAAAAAGATTCTCTCTCTTTCACCCTCTGCCTCCCCCCCACCCCACCTCTAAAAAAAAAAAAAGAAGCTTGACAAATATGGCTGGACTGACAGCCACACAGTTGAATGGCAAAGGAAACTCAAAAAAAAATAAAAAAAAAGATTCTCTCTCTTTCACCCTCTGCCTCCCCCCCACCCCACCTCTAAAAAAAAAAAAAGAAGCTTGACAAATATGGCTGGACTGACAGCCACACAGTTGAATGGCAAAGGAAACTCTGAAGGACATAAGCAGGGTTTCTGGATGTAGCAAGTCCTGGCAAATAGACTGTATGGATTCCCTACCCCTTCATATGAAGAATACTGCTGGGCATAGACTACAGTAGACATCTTTTCAGGGTATGACATTACACTTTTCCACACAGCATATGTGCACAATACCATTCAAAGATTCTTCGATGACCTATGTTCCATATTTAGCTTCCCTAAACACGCCCAGTAAGATAACGGTGCTACTTTTATAGCTAAAAGTACAACAGTGGACAACTACCTGGGACATTATCTGGGCCTTTCATGATCTGTATCATTCCCAAGAAGCAGGTGCTGTTAAAAGAGAAAGTGAACTCTGAAAAACCAAAAAAGATAGCTGGGCAATCAAGCCTAGGCTCTTAGTAGTGTACAAATTAAGATAGTCTGTTTGGGTCCCAAATGTGATAATTACCTAAAAGAGTACCTCCTGTTGAAGTATAATGTCTAATTATGAGGTTCAGGAGTGGTAGAAAGCCCTAACTGGCCACAGGAAACCCAAACCACACAATTAAGCCATGTAACTCTATTTTTCCCCGCCTTCCTATGCCTATCCCTGGAGTATTAGAATTTGCAAGTAGGAAAAAAGAGCTGGGAACTGGGAGACTGAAACTTATTGTAACCCCTCACCCACCCATGCTTGCTGGATTTGGACAATTAGAGATAAGGATTATGATGATCATGAATTATGAGATGAAAACTACTAAGGTGGTCTTGGCATGGCCCACATGTCAGAGAGTGGGGGATATTCTCAGATGTTCTAAATTATAAAAGAAAGGAACTTCTGAGCTAACCAGGGATGAGTCTAAGCATATGGTATGGGTTAGACATGGAGAGAATTGGGGAAAAGGTGCAGTGATGGTTGCAGAGACTAGTCATAATGGTCATATGGCTGTGTGAGGAGAGAAACCACCCTGGTTGGTAAGAATTAGACCCTGGGACAGGGGCAGAGTGAGGGACCACTTAGGTTTAGTCTGTAGGGTATCTGACCAATTTAACCCAAGCTTCCATCACCACCTTCAATTTGACTACTGACCAACAAATGATCTTAATTTAAAAAATCTCAGAATCCTCCCAACAGCCACTGACTCCAGAAAGAGATACTCTTAGCAAGGAACAACAGAATAGATTAACTTTCTGGACATTGAAATGATTCCCTTTAGCCTTGTTCTGTCATTGTTGGACTTTTTGTACATTTTTCACAGACTACTGATGGTTCTAAATTCTCTAGTATGAGTGGTAATGGAGATTGTACTGGATTTTTTCCTGGCCAGTTTAGGTGGGGTATGTGCCATTGCCAATATCTCTTGCCTCACTTAGAATAATGACACATTTAGCTAGCTTGGCTCTAAATGAGGAATCTGGATATGTTCCATTCTTTAGTGGGCCTGGTTATACTACTGTGTATCACTACCATGGTCACTTTTGTCTAATGTTGCCTAAGACAAATGGAATGTATTTGATCCAAGACTTTCGGAGTACAGCTAATTAGAGTATCTGATGACTTACATGGTGGCTCATCTTCCTGAGAATTTTTATATGGAAAGGTTGAGAGGTCTAGTTGTAGGGAAGTGGCTCCACCATGGTGCTCTGGCAAGTTTTCACATATCTATGAAGCCCATGCAGGCAAAGCCTTGAACTACAGCTGATCTGAGTCATGGCAGATCACCTTGTGATCCTTTGGGAACGTGAGAGGATGAGAGAAGTTTTACAGGCCTTCAAGCCCATCTCCCACTCATTCCCTATGTCTTGTGGGAGGCTGTTATGAGACAGTTTCTCATTGCCTCTCAGATTCTGAAGAGGCATAAAGCTTTCTGGATATAACTGCATACTGTAACACTACTTAGCTACAGTCTAAAATTGGCTTCTCACCAAGGATGCTGCAATCATTGAGCCCTCTTTGGTTTTGGTGTCATTGTGTTTAGTGTATGGGATTAGGACTTGGGGACTGGCATGCTTGGATACCCTTGCTTTTGCTGTTTATGTAAGTAATACATTATATGAATCTAAAAGTGGCTTACTGTATCTTTACGGGCTGAGTCAGTTAGGACATTGCCTTGACCTTGCCTGCTGGTGTATGTTTAACAGGAAGAACAATAGAAATAGTAAAAATATATGAGTAAATATGATAGACTATCCCTCTATTTGGTTTAGTTTCGAACCAAAAGATTGGTTAGAGCCATAAGAAACCTTTCTTATGGTCTTCCTTAAGACTGTGACTTAATAATCAGGTATCTGAGGGCTCCTTGTTCTGAGCTAAAACTCCCATAATTGTTTCACACTCAGTGAAGCTTTCTCCATTTTTTCCTGAAGAAAATCATGGGCATTTGTTGTGTGCTCATCTTTCCTAGTGATCCTACCCTAGGATACTAGGGTAAGGCTCAGTCCTTCCTTCTCAGTGCTCAGGGAGTATTCACTAGTGTCCATTTTTGAGTTTCTTCAGTATCCTCTTAGAAACAAATAAACATACCTTGGACCTCTTCTGAGGTCTCCTTTGTTTTGTGATTTTTCACAAGTATGGTATCTCTAAGCTCTCAGTACCTGGGGACCTAAAAGGAATATGAGCCTCTAGGCTGGAATTTCTGTGAAGTAGACATTTCCCTAATTTGTTCATCCCAAGAGACTATATGTACAAGTGGAAAATGGACACACCATATAGAAAAATAGAACTCTCACCCACAGTCTGCAGCAACCAGTCCAGGAAGCCAACGCATTATCTGTAGTTACCAGTCTAGGAAGTCAAACTACTATCTGTGGCAACCAGTCCAGGAAGCCAAAATAAACCTTGTAGCAATCAGCCCCACACAGCCAGAATTTGATTAATATCCTCTCTCAACCAATCACATAAGATGCTTTGCTTCTATTTAGCCCCCCCAGGCCAACAGTCTCTAATCAGAGCATACCTGAAGTCTCCCACCTCCCCCCACCGCTAACTATAGGGCTTTCTCACTTCTCTGTCCAACCTAGAGCCTGCCAAATCCAAGTGATGGTGGTTGACTCCCTGGCTTAGAGCAAGCTTTCAATAAATAGCCTTTGCTTGTTCTTATGTTGGTGGTCTTTTATGTCCACAATTTCGTTTAAAGGTTTAATTTCCCCGACATGCTGTGTGATGTTAGATAAGCCATCTCCTCTCTTTGGGCCTTACTTTCTTCAACTGAAAAACGGTTTCAACAGTTATTCATTCCTTTATTCAACAAATATCCCTTGGCACTTAAAGAAACTGGTCCGTAAGAGTTGCTAGACATTGGGTGGTTATTTGAGGCACAAAGATGATCAGGGACGTTAGTTGCTCTCTGGGAATGTAGAACCCAGTAAAGGGAAGCGGCTATATGAACAGGCAAGGCAAATCAAGTATTTGCTACTTCTTAGTAGCATCCATCCTGCAAGGGTGCAGTGCAATACCGAAGAAGCGTGGTCAGTGGGAAGAAGAGGGCTGGGAAAGGATTCCCAGAGAAAGCCTCCTCTCCAAGCCCGCTTCCCCCGAGTTCCCACAGCAGCGCCCCAAGGCAGTCTGTGTCTGTGGAAGAGACAGACTGCTGGACTCGCTCTCTCCTCCCTGTGTCTTTAGGGTGCCAGAGGGAGGACCACAGAGACGTGGCGCCCTCCACCGTCCTAGAGAAGCCAGAGTGGCAAGACTGCGGCCGCTTCCACCTCTCCGGTGCGCAGCGTGGGGAGCTGAGCGTGAGGCTGACCCGGCCAGCGTGGCGTGGAGCCCGGGTCTTGCGCGGCCGGCTCCTGGGCCTCTATATCAGACCCGACGCGGTCCGGAGCGTCCCTCCCGGACCCCGGGCAGCGATCCCCCACCCCCCTGTAGGGCCTGGCGCGCGCTCGCTTCCCGGGAGGGCGGCCATGGCCGTGGCGGCCGCGGTCCTGGCGAGCGGGGCCCCCTTCGGCCCTGCACTCGAGCTGCTACCGGGACAGCCCGCGCCTGCCCGGGCGCGCCCGGTGAGTGCGGGGCGGGCGCCGCGAAGCTGGCTCGGCTCTGCCCCGTGCTCTAGGCCCAGATGAGGGGCAGCGGGGGCAGTGCGGCGGCCAGGAAATCGGGGTACAGCCCAGAGTGGAGGAGCCGGAGGAACAGGCAGGGAGCAGAATGGATTCGACACCCCCCAGACTTGGCGCCGGCAGGGGAAACACACGTGCGGCTGCACAGGCATGAGCCAAGTGCTGGGGAAGAGGTGTTCACAGAGCGCTGTGCGCAGCGACGAATGTCCAGAATTTCCAGGTCGCTGATTTTAACAGAGCTGGTTATGTTTGAGGTGGGTCTTGAGATGAATATGAGTTGCTGGAGGGAGGAACTGGATCTCCAGGCAGGGGGAGCTGCAGGTGCAAGGGCACAGATAAGGGTTTGGATTCATAACAGGATGGTGACAGGATAGGGAATGATGTGGTGGTGCAGGAGATGATCCTTGGCAGGTAAACTGGGTCTGTTAATAGTGAGTGGAATTGTTTGCGGTGCACAGGATTTGGGCATTTTGAGGTAGGTGAGGGTGAGCGGGCCAGTCTTTGAGTCCTGGATTGTCATGTCAGGTAAGTCTCTGTGGGGACTTTGTAGGGCAAGGACTGATGAGAAATGGAACAGAATCAGCCCTTCCATAGTATGGAGATTGAGATCCAGAATGAGGCAGTGGTTGGGAATTATAAACTTGATGGCTCTACATGAGCACTGTTTGTGTTTCTTAGACAGGACAGTGAGAGAAAAGGTGCAGAAGGTTGGGCCTCCCAGAGATACAGGAAAAGAGGACCTTAAGACTGGGTAATGGGGAAGAAATAGTAGGGTGGGGTGTTCTAGAGAGTGTGTTGGAGTGGCAGAGTGTGGGGAGCAAAGTCCATTTGGATCTGCCCTTTGGAGTCCAGCCTCCAGAGCCGTCTGAGTGTTCTGAGGTGCCCTCAAATGCCTCTGGCTGGTGGCTGTGATGGGGAGGAAGAGAAGAGAAAGAATCTCACAGAGAGGCAGCAGAAGTAAGGACAGAAGGCAGTGTGGTGCAGTAAATAGGAGCCAGAGAGTCAGACAGGCCTGCCTTCTGTCTCAGTTCTGTAACTTTGAGGGCAGTTCATCTTTGAGCCTCGGTTTCGTCTTCTATAAAGTGAATCTAATACCTTCCTCATAGGCTGTGAGGCATACGCAGAGTAATACATGTAAAGTCCTTGGCACAGGCTTAGTAAATAGTGATTGTGCTTAGTAATAGTTACGAAGGGTTGGTAACCTCTGAAGGAGGGCGCATTGTGGAGAAAGGATGGCACCTAGAGCACACGTAGTTGTTTTGGGCACAGGATGGAAAGGGGAAACTTGCAGAGACTCATGAAAAAGATGATGTGGCGAAGTTAAGATGAAGAGATGTGAGAAGTTGATGGCTGATCCCTCATATCTTTGTAAGTAGGGGACGCAAATCCTCTAAGAGTTCCCTTAGACATTCAGAATCCAGAAACTCAATGGGCAACCAGTACCACTGGGTGCCTCATCCACCCCTTACTCTAGGCCTGGGTCTGGGGTTGTCTGAGGGCATTTAAACACATGTTGTTTCAGGCGTCAGTGACCTTCGAGGATGTGGCCATCTACTTCTCTGAGAACGAATGGATTGGCCTGGCCCCTGCTCAGAGGGTCCTGTACAAGGATGTGATGCTGGAGAATTATGGGGCAGTGGCTTCCCTGGGTAAGGGTCTTTCCTTCTGGACTCTGCCTCTGCCCTTCAGAGTTTCCCAGCTCCTCTTTTCTCAGAAGCACTGGAGTCTTTGATGAGCCTCACCTGAATGGCAACTTCAGGCCCTTGGATCCTTAATGACCCCGCCTCAGCGGCTGCTAGGAAGTGGGAAGTCCTGGTATAAATTAGGGCCTCACATCAGCCTTTCTTGCCCCAGGGAGGGAGAGAGCTAACTCTCCAGTCTGGTGCTATGGGTACAGTAGGGAGAGAACAGATTCCTGGTGTCCCACCAAGTCCTCAGTTTCCCACCCGTGCAGTTTGGGAGACCCAGCCCAATACCAAACATCCTTGTGCAGATATCTGAACTTGAGAGCTCTAAGGGAGGGAAGGAACAAGAAAGCTCAATCTCTCAACGAGTGGGATCATCTGTGCACCCAGACTATTGTTGAGCATCTCTTGGTCTAATTCCTGACCTTTGTCAGCCTCCTGGCTGTGCTCCCCTGGGTCTCCTGTCCCTTCCCCTGGACTTTCTTTTCTCACTGTACCTGATTAATTCCCTTCTTCCCCCTCCTGCCCCTAAAGACAAAGCCTGGGAGGAGCCATGGGATTGCTCTATGTCACCCCACTCACCTGCCTGTCCCATTTCCTCCCCCTCAACCAGCATTTCCTTTTCCCAAACCGGCTCTGATTTCCCAGCTGGAGCGAGGGGAAGCGCCCTGGTGCAAGGCTCCTCAGGGAGCTCTGGATGGAGAGTGCCCACAGGGCCTCTCCTCAGGTGAGTGAGGGCCATGTGCCAGTCGCCTGACCAGTTCCCTTGTCTTGATCTTTACCATGTAATAGGTATGTGTTCTCTTAACCTAGTGCTATAGACACTGGTGGGATTCCTTTCCCCACTCCTCCCCCCCCCCCCCCCCCCCCCCCCCCCCCCCCCGGCCACATCCTCATGGTTTTCCATCTTCTTGAGTCTATTTATTCACCCTGGCTCCCCCTTCACCTCTTTTGCCTCTTCCTCATTTCCACTGTTCTTATCATGGCCACCATTTATCTGTACTCCCTGACTTTTCTGTTTACACTCTGAGGTGGCCTTTCTACTTTCTCAACCTGCTTCTCCTCTTCTAGCAGAAGATTCTGACTGCCCTTTGGGCCATCATGGTCATTGTTATCATTAGAAATCAAGAAGTCTCAATAATTCTGAGCCATATAGTTCCAATTCAGAGACTTCTGGTGGACAAAGCCCTGGCATTCCTTTAGGCCCAACACAGGGTTTCCTGTTACTAATTTGCTAGTGACAGCTGTGCCCCTTATTGCCTCCCTGGAGCCATTCCATCTTCTTCCCACAGGAGCTCTTCTGTGGGCACAGTGGAACTTGAGCTGTGCCTTCAACTTCCCTGTCCTCACAGTTCCTTGCTGTGTCTGGCAGTCTGTCCATATTTAGGATATCCTTGATTACAAGTAACAACCCAGTTCACACTGGCTTGAACACAAAAGGAATTTGCTGTTTCATGTAAGTAGGAAGTTCATAGAGTGCAGCTACAGCTCGATCAGAGTTTCAATCTCTGGTCTCTTCTGTCTCCTTATAAGTTGGCTTTATCTACAGCCTGGCTCCTCTCGTGGTTGTAAGGTGATTGGTAGTTGTAACTAAGGCTCTGCTTCTTCACACCTAGGGAGAGAAATAGGGCAGGGTTTCCTCAGGCCTTTGGGATGTACCACCTTAAGTCTTATGCCAGCTCTAAACCAATCACTATGGCCAGGGAAATAGTATGCCCTGATTGTCTTGGCCTAGACTGCCGATTTCTGAAACTATCTCTCATGTAGTGAGTAGGACAGGCTAACCTGCTTGTCTTAGACCAGTAAGTGCTGTATTAGGAACTGGAGTTGGGATCGTTCTCCCCCAAAAGGCAGAGCTACTCCCTAATGGGCAGGGTGGGAGTAGGGATTGGTGGTGGTAGAATGGATGTAGAGAGACAACTATAGTGTCCTCTGCATTCTCTCAGGATCTCAGTGCTTATTCTCCCACCTCCCAAGGGAATTTATGGTTTTTGCTTTAGGCAGTGAGCCAACAGCTAAGTTATCCTTGAGTAAAACCCTAACTCCCTGACCTGCAGCAAACTTCCTTGGAGGACATGTCCCTATTCAAAGTCCATTTTTGTCTTAAAGAAGAGACTATTCAGGGTACACGCAGTTCTTGGCTTCAGCATTATAAAAGATTGTCATTTGGAGGACGAAAAATTGATCTGTTTCTTAGAAGGCATTGGATGGGAGTTACAAATAGACCAATTTTAGCTAAGCCTGAAGAGTTTATTAGAGTGGACCTTTGCAGTTGAGGTGTCTGTCATTAGAATAAAAAGTGACTTCTGGAAATGGCTGAGTGAAGGCTGTAAGGCCATTTCTAATGGATGCCATATAGAAATCCATCATTGATCCTTTGTGGAATGAGAGGGCAATAGATAGATGGACAGATGGGAGAGAAGCTAAGAGACTGTGGTTTCCCAACACAGCCTCAGGAACAGTTCTTTGCAGTTCCATCCTGTCCTAATTCTATTCCATGTGAACTGGCATTCACCTCCTAGGGGAGATGAAGAAGAGACCTTAGTCTCTCCTGTTTTTTCTTGACATTTAAAAATGAGCGATACATTTTGATGTTTTAGGGAACTGATGGAATCACAACTTCCCTGTACGTCTGTTTTCTGTCCTTCATATTGTTAGCCTTCTCCAGTTTCAGGTCACCTGTGTACTGATCTTTCCACCCATCTTCATCCTCCCTTACCACTTCCATCTCTGCTCCTTTCCTAGTGGACCCCAACTCCTCTCACTGAGCCAGCCTTATTTATATCTTGACCCTGGCAGGATATCCATTTCTAAAGCCTGCTGGGATCTCCCATCTTGAGCAGGTGGAAGAGCCATTGAACCTGAAACTGCAAGGAGAGGGGCCAAACCTAATCTGTGCTGGTAAGTGAGGGGAATGAACACTTTTCTCCCAGGTACATGTTTACCATTTATGTTCTAGACAAAAGACTCGCTAAAAACCCCCAAGTCAACTGTAAGAGGAAAGTTAAACTTTAAGCTTCTAGCTTTCATTTGGTCATGGTCAATCATAATGAAATTCGAGTGCGTCTTGGGTTGTAGGCTGTAACTGAACGGATGGCCTACTGGCTGCTATGGCCAACCAGTATTTTAAAAGGAAATGCTGTATTTCATTCATTCTGTTAGTGTGTAAGGTGTGATGCTGTAACAGAAGTGCGAATAAAACACTCTGGGGACAAAGAGGAGGCACTGTTTGCCCAACTGTGTCTAAAGCTGTTTGGGGAAGCCCTTCTCATGGTGGACCTGGTGACTGGATTGACTGCAAAGACCACATTTCCTTTTAGTGTTGACAAGTATGAGGAAGATTCTTCTTCTTGCTCCCCACTGTGTGTGACAAGTTCAGGTTCCCCCAGGTTTACCACAAAGGATTCTTTATTTCTGAGCATGTTGTTTGTCATGTTATAAACTGGACTCCCTAAAAGAAATTCTGACTTGTCTCCCTTAGATTCAGTTTATCTATTCCTAGAGAGCTCCCCACTGTGCTTGGTTTGGTGCTTAGGAATCATAGCCCTCAGGGACTCTGTCTAGTTTTTGCCTTTCTGTAGCATAAACATTGGTTGCTTTCTGTGTGGTAGCCCTGTGGTTCCGTTTTCAGCTAGGACAGGGCTGCTGGGACATAGAGGTGACACTTGAAGTGAAATGGACATATGAGTACCACTTAGTGACCTTATTTGCTCCGTTGTGGGTAGTGATGACATTTGCAGCTTTGATTTCTTCTTTCAGAGGGTGTGTTGAAGAGTGAGAAAGAAGATTTTATTAAGGAGGAAAGTTTTGAGAAGGCAGAGGACCACACGGTGCTATCAAGTGGACCCCGGTGGTGCAGCTCCCAGGAATTCTGGTTTGGGAAAACCTGCAAGGAGAGGAAAAGCAGGTTAGGGAGGTGGCGTGACTACTCCAATGGGAAAAGTGCAGAGAGCACTGCAGATGATATTATAGAAGTGATTGTCAAAGATGAGATGCTTTCAGGAGAAGATGGTTCAGAGAGTACTGATGTTAATACCCACCTTGTTATACATGAGAAAATCCTCAGTGAGCAGGTGTTCTATATTTGTGAAGAATGTGGCAAGTGTTTTGAGCAAAATGAAGACTTTGACCAACATCAGAGAATGCATAATGGAGAGAAGATCTATGGTTGCAAGGAATGTGGGAAGACTTTCAGTTTTAGATCACATTGCATTGCACATCAGAGAATTCACACTGGGGTGAAACCCTATGTGTGTCAAGAATGTGCTAAAGCCTTTGTTTGGAAGTCAAACCTGATTCGGCACCAGAGAATACATACTGGAGAGAAACCCTTTGAATGTAAGGAATGTGGGAAGGGCTTTAGTCAGAACACAAGCCTTACACAACATCAGCGAATCCATACCGGAGAAAAACCATATACATGTAAGGAATGTGGGAAAAGCTTTACTCGGAACCCAGCCCTGCTTCGACATCAGAGAATCCATACTGGGGAGAAGCCATATGAATGTAAGGACTGTGGGAAAGGCTTCATGTGGAACTCAGATCTTGCTCAGCACCAGAGGGTCCACACAGGGGAGAAGCCCCATGAATGTACTGACTGTGGGAAAAGCTTCATTTGCAAGGCACACCTTATCCGACATCAGAGAATCCATACTGGGGAAAGACCCTATAAATGTAATGACTGTGGGAAGGCCTTCAGTCAGAATTCTGTTTTGATTAAGCACCAGAGGCGCCATGCTAGAGAGAAACCCTGTAATTATCAGACCTCTCTCCTTCTTGAACATTAGAGAAGGCATAAGGGTGATACTTGTTAAAATTGTTATGCTACAGGAACCCCAGAGACAAAATGATATGACTGTCCACAGTCTGTTATAACTCTAATAGCCAGTATTATCTTGCCCCTTCTGAACAGATACCCTGTACTCTAGCAAGATGGTCTCACTGTTCAACCATGTTCATGCTAGGCAACTTTTAGTTGAGCATCTATTCTGTCAGGCACTATGCTGACCACTTTGCATACATTCTTTAGTTTTTCTCAATCCTGTTAAGGTAGGTACTTCTCATTTTGCAAATGAGAAATCTGAGGTTGAAAGAAGTTCTAAAACTCATTCAGGGTTGCTCAGCTAATATGTTACAGAGTAGAGATTGGAATCAGGCCTATCTGACTCCAGAGTCTACTCTTCTTTATTATGTACACATTTCTCCTTCTGCTCATTTCTCTTTGCTCAAGTTTCCCTGGGCTACAAATTTCCCTTCCTCATCCAAGACCCAGCTCCTTCAACTGAACAGACCCCTCTTCCTCTTCTACTGTAATCAGTACTGTCCAAATTGGTATTTAACTATGTGCTGTCATATTTTTCTAGTGTCTCATGTGTGCGACTCCAGCTAAATGGCTCTTTGAGGACCAACACTATTTCTTTTATGTTTTTCAAATTTTGAAACTTATTTTTTACTAGATATAACATGCTCACGATTACAAAAAGAAGTTGAAATAGTTCAAAAAGGTGTTCAGTGAAAAGTAAATCTTGTCACTCCTGTCTTCCAGTCTACCTCCTCAGAGACCATCACTATTACTGGCTGTGTGTCTTCCTGGACATATTCTTTCTATACACAATTACTGATTAATACTGCTTTCAAAAGTCTACCTCACTGACCACCGTTAGATCTAGATGATAGTGCAGTTACATTGCCAACTTCAAAACTTTCTCTTCCTTAGAAGTTGTGGTCTATTTTGAGATCACCAAGATGATTTAAGGAAGGTAGCTGAGGGTAGTCTGGGTTATAAGGTTGTGGGAGACCTGATTTCCTTTGTATTATAAGATAGTAATCTGGGACTGGGAAAAGGTAAACCAGGTGGGAGATTTTTGTTTCCATAAAAATGTGTATAGCTGTAACCCCTCTCATTGCTGTACTATCCCAAATCCCCTTCCAGTCTGTCCCTTCTCGTCACCATGATAGCCTACATTCCAGAGTTAGCTGTATTATTGGACAATGGTAATGACCATCTTCAAGGGTGGGAGAGAAACAAAGGCCCTATTCAGAGAAGAGCGCTGGCCAAAACAGATGGAATGTACATTCCAATCTTCACCTTCAGAGCCATTTTCAGATTGCAGTTTGCCTCTCTGCTAATTAGGCATTCCACTTTAGAAGCTCCCAGCCAGGTAATATAATTGTTGACTAAGGAGCAAGGAAGAGAAACCAGAGTCTGGCTTGGACTACACTTCTGGTTCCTAAAAATTACAAACATTAACTCTAGAGCCCCTGATTGCTGAAGTAGTAAGGAGAATGTGGCCTAGCATAGTCTAGTTAGGGTACCACTACTAAGTAGTAAACCTTTTTGTTTTAAAGTTTTTTTTTTCTTTGTACTAAACAGAACCAGAAAATGGAAACGAGTGATGTGAACAGGTGTTTGGGGGAAGATTATTAAGCAAATAGTCACTGAGTACCTGCTTGCATACAAAGCACTATGGTAAGTCAGACCAGTTTCCTGCCTTTCTGGAACATGAATGAGAGAGACCAAACCAAAAAAAAATCAAGTAATTTATTAAAAATTCCTAATTGTCATGAAAAAAATGAATGCTACAGAGAGAGAGAATGATAGAGTGGAACCCTCTATATGAATGGTCAGGGAAGGCCTACCTATCCTAAAAGGTAACATTAAAGCTAAATCTCAGAATGAGGAAAAGGCACACGTATCACAAACGGGGGAAGAATAGCAGGCAGAGGAACATCTCTGCAGACTCAGATGTGTGAAGGGTTTGGCACGTTCAAGACACCAGAAGGTTTTAGGTCTAGCATAATGATCAAGGGTGCGAGTGGCACAAGTTAGGTTTGTAGACATTGGTGGACCAGATCGTTCAATTCCATCCCAAGTGAAAAGTCATTAAAGGGTATTCAGTGGAGGAATGACATGTTTGATTCACATTTTAAGATGATTCCTGGCTGCTAAGTAGAAAATGGCTTGTTAAAGGACCAACGTGAAAGGAGAGATTGTATTGGAGACTGCTGGCAGTCAGGTGGGAGATGATAGTGGCTTGGACCGGGTGATGGTTGTAGAAATGGAGAGAAAATATATTTTAAGTTACAGTTTGGAAGTAAAATCAGTGACCTGCTAAAGGACTGGATATAGGAAAAATAGGAATTATGGATAGTTTCCTGATTTCTGGTTAGAAACAGCTGCTGTTTGAGCAGCTGAGTTAGACAGCAGGCCATTTACTGGAATGAATAACACTGGAATGAGAATAGGTTTGGGGAGGGAGAAATCTAGAAGACTGTTTTGGATTAACATTTAGGATATGTGTAAGATGTACAAGTAGAAATTCCAAGTGGTGTTTGTATATGTGGGCTAGAGCTCTGGGTCAGTGATATCTAAAGCTTTGCATTTGGGAGTCATCAAATGAGCAAAAGGTATTTTAAACTGTGGGAAGAAATGTAGAAAAGTCTTCTGGAGCTGCTATCCAACACAGTAGCCACTGGCCATGTGTAGGTATTTAAATTAAATGTAAATTTTAGCTTCTTAATGTACTGGCCAGATTTCAAACACACAATAACTGTGGGAGTTGACTACCATATTGGATAGTGTTGACATAGAACATTTTCATCATTCCAAAAAGGTCTATTGGACAGTACTGCCTCCAGAGAGTATAGCAAAACATGAGGACCGAGGATAGAGTCCTATAAAACACTGATTCAGTATTTAGGGACAGGAGGAAGTGCCAGGAAGTCAGTGAGAGGTTGGCAATATTACCAGTGGACACAGAAGCAGTTGAAATAAGGTCGAATGCTTGGATTAGAGCTAAAAGAAGGTAATTATTAAAATCCTAAATATTAATAAGCTGCCAGAGTGAGGATGATGTGTATGCCAGATGATGTCAGTGTCTTAAAATGGGAGAGACACAGTTAATGAATAGGAAGAAGAACCCGCAGAAATGGAACCTGAAAGAGAAGAAACAGTTTGGACTCATGGAGGAGCCTCCTGGAAGCTGATCCTAGGATCCTAGGATCCTAGGAACTCTCCCTCAAAGATAGAAATGTTTGTAGGCAGAGTGTGGAATGGCCACAGTGAGAGAATTACCAAAATATGGCAAAGACACATATTTCAGAGGGATTAAGAAATGGCATGTAGAAATGGATGGCCCCTATCAAGAGAATTCCTAACTTGTCTTTTCTTTGACAGAGGCCCAGAGACAGGCACTTGGAAGTCCTGAGCCTATATCAAAAACTATAATCTGTAATGAAGGAATCATAACATCCAATTTGTAATAACACTTCCCACACATCTCAAAGTCAGAAGAGGAATAAAATTAATACTTCCCAAATTTTTGAGAAATATAAAAGAAAAAAAATTAGAAATTTAAGATACTTTCTGATAAATCCCAACTAGCAATATATTAAAATCAATAATTGATTATGGTAAATTTTTGTCTTCAAATGTTTCAAATATAGGACTGGAAAGTAAGAAAATAATAAAAACAGTGTATAGAGTCATTCACATAGTGAAAATCAACTGGCCTGCCCAGAATCTCTTGGGGGAATGAATAATTAAATCTCTCCTATTTTTCAATTCAGTTGCGAGACGCCTGGGTGGCTCAGTCGGTTAAGCGTCCGACTTCAGCTCAGGCCATGATCTCACGGTTCGTGGGTTCGAGCCCTGCGTCGGGCTCTGTGCTGACTGCCAGCTCAGAGCCTGGAGCCTATTTCAGATTCTGTATCTCCCTCACTCTCTAACCCTCCCCTGCATCTCTTTCTCTCTCTCTCTCTCTCAGAAATAAATAAAATATAAAAAAAAAAAAAAAAGCAACTCAGTTGCAAACCAGTGTCTGCAATTCTGAGCATGTCTTTGTCATGACCAAATCAGGGTTCCATACTATTCATCTTTTTGTTGGTTCCCAGCATCCATTCTTCTCTCTGGGGACAATAGCCCAGATAGTCTTTGGGAAAGCATCCTTTCTCAGCCACCTGGTTTCTGAGCATGTCTTTGTCATGACCAAATCAGGGTTCCATACTATTCATCTTTTTGTTGGTTCCCAGCATCCATTCTTCTCTCTGGGGACAATAGCCCAGATAGTCTTTGGGAAAGCATCCTTTCTCAGCCACCTGGTTTCTGAGCATGTCTTTGTCATGACCAAATCAGGGTTCCATACTATTCATCTTTTTGTTGGTTCCCAGCATCCATTCTTCTCTCTGGGGACAATAGCCCAGATAGTCTTTGGGAAAGCATCCTTTCTCAGCCACCTGGTTTGGCTCCACCTCCGAGCTTCATAAGTAGATCTTGGTTAGCCTAGGTACCTCAACGTATCCTATTACTCTGGCCACAGAGCCAATGAGATATGAGGAGATATTTACTGGGCCTTCCAGAAGAGAGAGGCTTTTCTTTGAGAGCAACCAAAGGAGATATTCTTTCCTCCTATGGATGGTAGATAGGAAGATACGAGGCCTTGAACTGCAACAACACTTTTTTTTTTCTGTTAAGAGGGGGTGGTCTGGAGCTTCCTGGTGTTAGCATGTAGAGCCTGAGGATGAAGTCAGTACCAAAGGAGATAGTGGCAAAGCAGAGAAAAACTGGGTCCCTGGTGACATTTGAGCCTTACCTGAAATAGACTCACCTCTGGAATTTTCAGTCATGTGAGCCAATAAACATCTTTTGTTAAACTAGTTAGAGTTGGGTTTTCTGTCATTTGCAACTTAGTCATACTGATACAGGCTTGTAAGCACTGATTTCTCATACAGCACCTAGTGTCACAGTTTCCCTTGCTCAGTAGTCACACAAGCTGTTCATTTGTATCTC